GGGATGGGCCCCCGGAAGGTGCCCCGAGGGTGTGCCCTGTGTTCCCTGGAATGCTCTCTCGGGATTGCCCTTTGCCTCCACCGTATGCCCTACCATGCACCCTAGCATAAGCCAAATATCCCCAATGTGCACCCTAGGATCTGCCCTGCGACGCACCCTGGGCTGTGCACCAGAGTTGCACCCTGTGCCCTGCTGTGCATTCAGGGGTGCACTCTATCCCCCGCCTTGCCCAGAAACGTGCTGTGTGCCCTGCAATGTGCCATGCACACCCAGGATGTGTGGCAGGATGTGCTGAGCTGCACTGTGTACCCCTGGATGTGTCCCAGGATGTGCCACATGCCCCAGGATGCATGTTGGGATGCACCCTGGGATATGTCTTGCCCCCCAGTATGTGCTTCAGAATATGCCAAGGGCTGTGCCATTAGCCTTGGGATCCCACCAGGCTCTGCTGTGTGCCCTAGGATATGTTCCAAATTCTGTGCCTCCTTGGCTGCTCCCTTCCGGCCTCCCAGCTCATGTCACAAGGGTCTTCCCCCACTGGTGGGGAGTACATAGGGTGCTGCATCATTGGGGTGGTGGACTGCAGGCCCATTGACCCCCCATTGTAGCCTAAAATTGGCTCTTAAAGAAACCTTTAAGAGTCAATTTGTGAGTTTTAGAAGGCAGGCATTCTTTATTACAATGCGCTGTATAATCACAGCGCTGCCCTGGGAATCAGTTCACCGAAGTGCACACAGAGGTATCATCTTCACTACAGCTTATATGTCAGTGTTACATGATTATTCATTTTTCGTTCCCTGAATTCTTGTTGCATATTTATGACATCTCTCAACGCTTTTTAGCATGCATACATATCCTTATAGGGTCTTTGAGGGGCTTCATCAGTGATCTCTGTTGGTTGTCCATGTCTGGAACCCCCAAAGTAACTGCTTTATGAACTTCAAGACAATACACCTGGTTATAGAGGAACTGGGTGTTGCTTGGCTGGCTGCCTCAGTTCCCTTCTTCATTGTTTCTTTACTTTGCTTGGTTAGCCCCTTTAAATCACTTGGCTCAGCTATATGTAGTTTCTACAGTACATTCCTCTGTAAAAATTGTTAGTTCTTGTTGCATCTCAAAACTCAGATATCACCATCAGCTCCAGGGCTGACTGGGGCTGCAAGCAGGCAGGGGACCATCCCCACAGTTTCACTGCAGAAAGGGAAATGGCTCATCCTGCTACAAGGACACACCAGAGTGTCAGCCAGCACCTGTGGTAGGGCCAGGTCTCTGCCCAATCCCCATGTTCTCATGTCCCCATGCCAGAGGAGCATGGGCAGCCCTAGAGCCTGCCCTGACAGGTTGCAGGCACTTGCAGCCACCTTGGGGCCTCTCTTCAGGAGCCACATCTGCCTCACATCCCAAGAGACCACACAGGTTCAGCTCCTGTCATGAGGACTGGATGCCACAAGCCAGCGTGACAGCCATAGCCAGCGTCATCCTCGGCATCACCCCTGCAGCTGTCAAAGGTCAGGGCTGCCTGGCCATTAATCATTGCTGAGAACAGCCAAGCATGAAAAGCTGTGCTGTTCCCAGGGCTGTTTTCCTTTCATCAGCTGCAGCCCCCAAGCACTTAAACATAGAGCAAATATTTGGCAGGGCAGGGTGAGGTTCTGGCCCATGGGCTGGGGACCTTGGTGAGCTCTGGAGCACTGAGAAAGGCCAGCAGGATGCTTGCAGGGGGCCGAGCTCTCTCTTGTATGCTTGGGTTTCTTGGCATCTGTGATCATACCATTTGAGTGATGGAGGATCTGGTGGCGGGCACTTTCTCATGGAACAGAGTTCCTACCATGGCACCAACCCTCACTTTGCCTGGGAACACCCCAGCAGAGCCCAGCAAGGAGGGCATTTCAGAGAACCTCAGCTCCACAGCTCGCTGTTGCCAAGGTGAGGGAGAGGAGGGAGGACTGGAAGAACAGGAGTGCTGTTACTTTGCATTCACTTTGGCCAAAGGAGCTGCCAAAGGGCAGGTTGACATCGCCAGCAAGGGACAGTCACCTGGGAATGGGAGCTGGTAGCATTGGTAGCACAGGCATCACTGTTTCCCTGCCCTGGGCGGTGCAGCACTGTCCTAATGCCACGAGTTGAGATGTGATAGGAGCAGCCACGTCAGCTGATGGAGACACCGGCTATAAAGCGCCTGCTGGCCCCATGGTGGAGGCACAAGGGAGCCCACCATGGCCAACGTGGTGCCTGTCTGCCTGCTCTTGGCCCTGATGCTCCTGGCCCCAGCCCTGTCAGCACAGCAGGAACGAGGGCTCATCTTCAACTTGGTAAGAGGAGACTAACCATGATCTTGGCACAGTGGGGGTTGCTCCAGTGCTGCAGTGGGGCACGCAGTGCATGGAGGGTTGGAGGTGTCTCCGGTGCTTTGGCCTCTGGCAGCAGTTATGTGAGGGACCCCCAGGATGATGGATGCAGACACCAAGAGCAAAACTTATCATGTCTGGGAAAACTGAGGCGGGTGGGGATGACGTGCTGGGTTTTCCAGAGTTGTGAGAGATCGTGGAGCCCGGAAAAGCAGCTGTGTAAAGGAATAGGGAAGTCACAGAGCAGATGAAACTGAAGCTCTCAGCTGCCTGAGCCAGACAGAACCCCCACCCTGGGTGGCTCACAGGGACTGGGGAGGGGAGACGCTTTCCTGTGGTGTCTCAGCCCTGCTCCCATGAGCCCCACAAAACCAGCACTTCAGTGGGTGGCATTTTGGGCCAGACTGAGGAAATGCTGCAGACTGGGAGACTCAGGCATGCTGGCAGTGGTGCTGACCCTGAGCTGAAAGGCAGAGCTGATGTTTGACACCCACCCAAACCCCCTGGGCCCACAGCTAGGGAGGGATCAAGGGGGGACAGAGAGGGACCTGGTGCTCAAACGCTGCCTTGTCATGCAGGAGATTGGGGAGCTGTGCCTGCAGAGTGCCCAGTGCAAGAGCGGCTGCTGCCACCGGGACAGTGGCCTCAGCATGGCTCGATGTGCACCGAAGGCAGCCGAGTTCCATGAATGCACCCCAAAGGTATGTACTTTCCTGCTCCCAGGAGTGGCTGGGGATGGGGGCATGTCCCCCACACTGCACCGTGTCTTGGTTCCCTGCAGACCATCTATGGGGTCTATTACAAGTGTCCCTGCGAGAGTGGCTTGACCTGTGATGCTGATAAGACCATCGTGGGCTCCATTACCAACACCAACTTCGGCGTCTGCAAGGACCCCCGGGGCTTCTACAGGTGGTGAAGAAAGAGACCCCCTGGAGTCCCTGCCCCTGCCACCCTGCCTTTCCCCTTCCCAGGGGTGCCTGGATCTGGCTGTGGGAGAATTTGAGTAAAGAGCAGCTTCTGCTGAGCTGCAAGCCAGCGTTTTCATTCGGCACAGGCCCCCTGGCCCAGGATAGGGACAACAGGGCCAGAAGGTCCTGGAAAAAGCCACAGGGACGATAGTTTTACCTATATGTGTGTGCAATCGTATAATAATCTGGTCTAGGTCAGCAGAGAGCCATGGGGTGAGCTCTGCTCAGGGATAGTGTTAGCAAAAGGGGGTGCAGGGGAGGGGAAGATGCAGCAGCCCCAGGATATGAGAGAGCTACTTTGGTTGTGCTGGACTTGTTTTATTTCCTGCTGTGGCTGCTCTGATTGGAAACATTTCCTAGAAAAGGTTTGTTGCTAGGGAAGAGGAACTTCCAGGGGTTGTTGAAGCTGTGGGTGCTCAAGGTGTTTGGTGGTCATGTCCACCTCCCATGTCATGCCACACTGTGGGCTCGGATGACCATGCCTGCACCTCCTCCTCAGGGTGAGCAGATGTGGCCAGGAGGTGAGAGGTCAGCCAGGTGGGAGTCCTCCCTGAAAAGGACCTTGTAGGGGCAGCAGTTGTAAATGCCATGGGAGACCCTCATGCAGCACCTCCATCAGCATCTTGTAGAGTATCTTCTCTGGCTGAAAGATGTGCAGGGGCTTTGGGAATTCAGGATGGACCTGGGGAGAGATGGTGCTGGAAGCAGCCCTGGCTCGCAGTGAGGTGGCAAATCCCCTAAGCCCTGACCCCGGCAGAGCTGTGCCCTGGGCAGGGTAGCCTGCAAGGTGCAATGCCCAGCTTTGGGCATGGGGAGGGAGTCAACGTTTTGGGCATGGGGAGGGAGCACAGATGTACTACAGCAGGATGAGGAAGAGGAGGCACCCATCTGGCAGAGCTGAGGAGGGAGCAGGAGATGAAGGGGTCATCAGAGAGAGTGTTCTTGGCTTCTCTCATGCAGATTTCGTGCATGTTTTTTTGCCCTGGGGGCACGGCAACAATCAGGCACCCCCAGTGCCGCTTCCCACTGCCCCAAGGGGCTCTGCACCAGGTAGGGAGGCCACAAAGCAGCTGAGAAGGTGCTGTAGGAAACTTTTTTCCAGGAAAAGGGTGACTGGCAGCTTGAGGATATGAACCTGCAGAAGCACCAGGAACATGTCTGGGAGGGTGGCACAGCTTGGAGGGTCCCCATTGTGGCAGCGTGGGGACCTTCTGGCCCCTGAAAGTTTGACTCGGCGGAACTACAAGAGGACAAAATTCTGACCTGGATTTTAGTTTTAAACTTGTGGTGGGTGGTGAAAGCTTTGAGAGTCTTGTTCTCATCGTAATGGTGGCCCTGGCAAGAGGCCACCAGGTGAACATCCTCACTAGTGCACCCCCTGGTGTGTGTGGGGTGCTGCCAGCCCTGGGGACAGGGGGACCCTACACTAGCATAGGGGTAACCTAAGTTGGGAAGGGGGATATGAGCAGGCCAACCTTGTGCAGGCAGGTTTTGCTGCAGCAAGGTTCCTTGTGGGGGGACATGTGGGAGATGCAGCCCCCCAGCAGGGACCATACTTCACACCGGGTAATGGAGAGGAACAAGCATTGGGGTACTCCTTCCTCCCTCAGTGCTTTGCATGGGGTTTAACCCTCTTTGGTTTAAAAGCAATGGGGAGTATGAGACTGAAGGGATGTTGGGGTGGAGGGCAGCCCAAGACCCTCCCCAGCCTCACCCCATCATCAGGATTGCACCCCACTGTCAAACCCCATCCCCTCCTGTTCACCCATGGGGTGCCCCGCTTACCAGGGAGGTGTGTGGAACATTCCACCCGCCTGAGTGTCCCCCCTTCCTGCCTCCCCTGTGCTCCCCCGCCCGCCCTGGCTGTTGTTACTGGAGGGTACAGGATGTTCTCACTCAGCCGAGCTCCTCTCCCCCCTCTCTCCCCCCTTTCCGCCAGCCCTTGGCCTTCACCTCTTCTCCTCTGCACTGCTTTAACTCTGTTTTTTTCCCAAAACATCACCTTTTCCTCTTCCTCTTCTTCTTCTTCTTCATTTCTTTTTAATTTCTGCACAGATGCACTGATGCTCCTTCTCTGCCCCTCCTAGGGAGTCCCTGCACCGTCAATTCACTGCATCTTCAGTGGTGTGCCCACACAATGCCCAGCTTTGCAGACATCCCCAGCAAAGATGCCCTACTCCCAACCTTGCAAAACATTCCAAGAAAGAAAGTGTGTGTTGAGCTGCCTCTCTGGCTTTGCCTTTGCATGTGACAGAGGGAACAACGTCAGACACTTTCCTTTTTTCCCACTCTGATGTTTTTCCCTGGAGTTGGAACAGAAAAGGACCTGAGTGAAGGGCAGGGATCTGCTCCAGGCAAACCACAGCCCCCGGGGTCCCAAACCTAGGTGTGAGGATCTCAGTCTCTCCTCCATCCTCAGGGTTGGCTTTGAGGCTGGAAGTAGGGTCTCTCGAGGAGGCTCCCCCATCCCAGAGCAGCCCAGGGCTGAGGACTGCCTAGCTTGGGGCAGGAGTGGAGGTTGCAAGTGGGACATGGGGGACGCAGAGGTTGCCCTGGAGGACATCCAGGCACCCCACACACCTCCATGAGCCCCTCATGATGTTGTCCAGCAGGGCACAAGTGGAAAAATCCTCAAACTGAATAATTTGCCCTGCTGGAAGAATTAATTAGTGCAATACAGGGATGTGAGGAGAGTGAGTGAGGGAGGCTGATGGGCTGCCTCAGCCTCGTAAGAGCTCGACAGTAGGTGCTTTGCTACAGCCACTTTGTGGAGGTGGTGTCAAGCTCGGATCCCCCTTGATGAGTATTTTTAGCATTAAATTCCCTGAAATGCTAGTGAGCAGGGCTGGGGGAGCAGGCCAGCCCCATAGGTGGGAGAGGAGATACTGAGGGGATACCTGGTGTGGCATGGCATTGCTGGGGATGCACTCTGGGGGATGCAGAAAGGGGTGTTAGGGTTGATGCTGGGGGTTGATGCCGGGTGTGATGCCAGGGGCATTGCTGGGGGGAATGCTGGGGGAATGCGGGGTGATGCCGGGGGCCACGCCGGTCTTCACCGGCCAGATACCGAGCCAGGAACTAGGCCGCGTTTGGAACGGTCCCGCAGTGGCCCTGCCCCGTCGCCTCCCACCTCCGTTCCCCCCTCGGCCCCCTCCGCCCGCTAAATGTCCAGGCGTTCCTGGAGCTCCCGCAGCCGGTACATTCGCGTCCCACGCCAAAGCCCTGGCACCGCAGCCCGCCCGCCCGGTTGCTGCTCCTCGCAGGCATGCAGGCCCAGGCCCCCCCCGCGCAGCTCCTACCGGCTGCGGCCCCCGGGTGATGGGGCTGAGCTGGTGCGAAGCCCGGAAACTGCCCGACTTGGGACGCAGCCGTAGCACTGGTCTGAGGTTTGCTTGTACATATCCCTGCCGGGTGTGCCCTGAACCCAGGGCTCCCCGGGCACCCAGCAAGCACTAGGGCACCCGGGGGGGATCTCCCCGGAGTGTTTTCGGGCCTCAGACCCCTCTAGCAGGAGCATCTCCACTGCAGGGCACAGCCTGGCTGCTGAGCGTCCTCGAGGGTATTGCACCCTTTGCCACCCCCGCACCCAACCCAAAAGAGAGGTGCCAGCCTGCACCCTCCCACCCGGACACCCCCGTTCGAGTGGGGCAGGTGAGGAGCCCCAGCCACCCCCAGCCATCCGCCCTCCCCGGCGGAGGCTGGTACAGTTCGTTATGTCCAGACCGGAATGTACTTTGTGTTGGAAGTGGCCACCAGCCAGGACGGCAAAGCTGGACTTTATTTATCCTCCCTGTTCTGGCCCCGCTGCATCCTGCCCTTACTTGTGTGGGGCTGGATCTCCAGCAGGGCTGGGGGAGCCCTAGACTCTGTCCACCCCTCATCTGCTCATCGCCAGCTGGGGAGGACAGGGATTTTCCCCCTTTCCTCAGAAGACAAATAATCTGGGAAAATATTTGTGTCCTTTCAGCTTGTAAAAGCTGTCCCTGGTGTCTGGAAGGAAGTGTCATAGGGAAGATGGGGATGCAGGGATGGGTCCAGCCCCAGCAAAGCCTCTGGCTGGAGGTGCCCCTGTCTGCTGGCAAGAGGGTTTTTTGCAAAGGGACCAGAATTTGGATCACAGTCTGGTAATTTATGGATTGGAAATACATGTAGAAAGAGCCAGCCCTAGCTGTGATGCAGAATGGAGCAGGATCAAGCCTCTGATGGAGCCAGGGCTTCTCTGGAGGTCCCCATGTGTGGGGGATATGTCTTGGCCCCTCTGCTGTTCAAAATTCATTGTAGGAGCCATGAGTCCAAGCTAAGAGAGGGACGGTGTTGGAGCCTCAGGACGGATCGGAGGGATTGCCCCAGGCTGGGTCTGATCAATCATTCCACGACTAGACAGAGAATCCCTCCTGTGGCCTTTCCGGTAGGAGGATTTGGGGGGGAATTTAATACAGAAAGCAGCTTTCCAGCTGCTTTGCACCTCCGGGGCAAGTATCCTCATACCAAATGAGTGGTCTTGCACTACTGCCTCCATTCCCCCATGCCCTCCTGTCCACCCTGTCCGTCCATTCCTGCTGCCAGTGCAGCTGCACCTACAGCCAGCAGCGAGGACACAGTGTTCTCCTGTGCTCTGCTGCCTGTTGTGCAACACCCGGCTGCACCTCCCATAAACACATAACTTCCCATGACCACGATGCCAGGCTCCTGCCACACTGCACCCCTCTGCCTGAGACAAACTGGGCCCTTGGAGGGGTGCACATACAGGGGGTGCAGGTGGGCGAGGCCATGGCATCATCAGGCTGCAAAAAACTGCTTTGATCCCCCAAATGGGCAATGGGGATCTGGGTACTGGGGGGAACGATGGATTTGATCCCCCTGGGAAGGGAGCATCTTGCATGGGTCATCTAGCCCAGGACCATTGATTTGTGCTGCCACACACAACATGGAGAAAACCCATTTCTTCTACTCTCCAAGGCTTGAGAGATTGACTGATGTGGCTCTTCACTGTGAAACTGAGGTGGAAGGACTCCTCTCCTCCTCATGCTCTCGAGGCAGATTAACACTGGTTATTTTTAGCAGAAGACAAGGATGAATAAAAATATCTCCTATTATTTTTAAATTTTTTTCTCTTTCAGGAACTGCTGCTCTTACCTCACACAAGGTGCTTGGGAGCAGTACAAGGCAGGGCAGATTTCTTGGCTTTGCTCCCTTGTTCCAGTGCAGGGCAAGACTTTCCCCCAGACTCCCTGCCCTTTTGGGGCTAGGCATGGGACTGGGGCCGGACATGTTAAGCCAGCTGGACGGTGAGGGGGAACAAGCAGTACCCCTGGCAGCCGCCCCAAAACCGGACAGGATTATTTATGGAACAGATTTCCTCCAGGTTGTGTTACAGGGATGTGGGTGAACGGGGCAGACCCCAGCACTGGCCAAGTGGGAGATTTTGGACATCTCACCACCCAAGAAAGCAGAGTGAGCTGAGGGGTCCAGGGCTGATATAGCAGTGTTTTGGAAGATGTCTTTAAAAAAAGCAGCTCTAGTGCTTTCTTCCCATGTGTTTTGTGTGATTTTTTTGATGCAAATTTACTATTTTTGCAAGGTTTGCAAGGACAAACCAGGCTGAACCCCCTCACTACCGCCATTGGTCCCACGGGATTTTTCAGGGCTTAGGTGTTATTTCGGGAGCCTGACAGAATTAAGCTATGTGGTTTTCTAATATTGAAAACACACAGTATTTTTTTTTTTTTGGAAAATGGAAATGTTTAAAACCAAAATGCAAGATTCACCTGGGTCATTTTAGAGAAGGAAAAATGAAATGTTGTGAAAACAATTTTTTTTTCCCTAAAGTGGGCTTTAATTTTAACTGTATTTCTGATAAGTGACATCAGTGTCTAAATTACAGCTGGGGAAATTGAACTCAGAATACAGAGCAGACCTGTGAGAAAGTACCTGCCAAGGCAGTGCTGCCTTCAGCTTGGCCCTGGGGGTTTTTTTGGATTAACATGTGGGAATCAGGGTGCAGGTTGGGAGCAGCAGGGACTCATTCCAACACAAACCTTGTAAAAAAGGACACTTTATAAAGCACTCAGAGATGCCCCATTTTAAATCTGTCCCCAACTTTCTTTTGCACCTCTTTGCTCAGGCGCTGCAATTAGCTGAACGTGCACAAGCAGCGATGAGATGCTTAATTGCAAATGTACATTATTTCTAATCTCGGGGGGTATTTTGAGGCAGCTTTTAACAAAAATCTTATCTCCTTCACACCGAAGTGGAACATTTCTGCGTGTCCCAGCAGCCGGTGTGTTCTCCAAACCCACGTCTCTCTGCCCCTAACTGCGGAGACAAATTTTTCACTGTCTAGCGCAGAATTTCCCATTACAAACCCCGAGGAGCTTGCAGGCGTTGGGGTACCCGTGGGGCGTTGTGGGGGGCTGGGGCA